GTACTTTCTAGAACTTCAAATTGTTTTTTTGTTTATGAAGGCAACATTCTCTCACATGTCTCTTAGTAGGCTTATTCGATTTTCTATTTCGACTCTTGTTTCCTTAGATTTTTGTACTTCTGTATTTGTTGAGTTTGATTAGTCTCTTTTATGATTGTGGCTTGCCTTGAGTGAACAGTGATTCTTGGTTGCTTGAGCATCATTTTGTTTTAGAATTACTCTTACCCCATGGATATGTAAATGCTATCCTTCTCCAGAAGGACAGGCTACTTCTAGTGATTGGAGGTGGCGGGGAGAATCAGAATGCGTTTCCTGGAGTGTGTGTCAGTAATTCTTCTTATGGGCATGGGGCTCTATGTCCCTCTGATCATGGCCACTTGGGGCACTTCCTTGCCTCTCTGACTCCAAGACACTCACTGCTTCTGTTTGGAGCCAGGTGACCAAGGGTCCCGTGGTTGGCACACACCAGGTGAGGGAGAGGTCAGCCCTCTCTGAAGCTCCTGCTGTGCTCCCTTCTGCTCTCGTCACCCCAGGACCATCTCTTCCTTTTGTAGTTGCTGTGGTTCGATTTCCTCTCCAAAACTCCAGTTGAAGCTTAATCCCCAGTGTGGCAGTTTTAAGAGATGGAGCCTCTGAGAGGTAATTGGCTCTGCCCTCATGAATAAATTAATCCATTTTTGTATTAATGTGTTAATGGATTAATGGGACATTGTGGGAATGGAACTGTTGACTTTATAAAAAGAGGAAAGGAGACCTGAGCTAGCTTGTGAACACACTCTCACCCTATGGCTGTGTTATGCCCCATGTCATCTCGGGACTCTGCAGAGAGTCCCCATTAAGAAGAAAGCCCTCACCAGATGTGTTCCCTTGACCTTGAACTTTTCAGCCTCCTAAACTGTAAGAAATAATTTTTTTCTTTATAAACTACCCAGTTTCAAGTATTCTGTTATAAGTGACAGAAAATGGATTAAGATGGCAGTGGACCATATCTACTATCATTTTCAGTTACAGATGGATTCTTCTATCAGCCCAGTTCACCTGCTTTCCATTGCTTAAGGATTTCCTCTTCATTTGTGTTACATATAGATACCTCTTCTTGTTTTCCAGCACTCTTGTGAATTTTAAAAATGATCTCCTCAATGTTAGATGAATCCTATGATACTGGATTGGAGTCAGAAATCACCATGAACTCATGTTTATTGTAATACATATGCAGGTAGATACAAAAATAAATATGGATATGTGTGCACACATGGGTTAGTACACAAAAATATATTTCCTGGCTCAGTCCACTGAGAGGACCTAGAAGCAGTAACACCTCAGCAGCAGCAAGTGCATCTAGTACTTACACCTTGTTTCCTAAATCCCATTCTCCAGTAAAAGGAACCAGCTTATTCCCTGTTTTCTAAATTCCATTCTACAGTAAAAGGAACCAGCTCCCTCGGGAAAATGGCTCCTTCTAGGGCTGGGACAAGGAAAATGCAAGGTGCACCTGTAGTATCTGCTAGTGCCAGAAAGTGAGGAAGTATCCTAGGGGGTGGGGCATGTCAGGTAGAGCAGGAGCCAGCCTGATGCACTCCCAATGCCCACAGCTGGGACAATTTCAGCTTGCTATAGTCATAGTGCTGGCTTTTCACCTCAATAAAATAACCACCCATGAGTCCACATATACCATAAATAAATGATTGAATAAATAAATAAATGGGGGAGAAGAGAGAATTCTTATCTTACAGAAAAATCTAAATTAATAAATGTAGAAAGAATGAGAGAAATATAAAATCACCATTAGAAAACCACAGGATAATTGTTGTAGGTAAGGTCCTCTGATGAATTAGTGCATGGGAACTTTACGGAGAAATAGAATTTTTGCATAGCCTCAAAGTGTCTCCCCCAAATAGTTACGGATTGCTGTGGTAGATTTAACGTATGTCCTCAAACATATGCTGCCTTCTAGGAGCTGGAGCTTAATTCCCCTCTCCTTGATTGTGAGCTAGACTTAGTGACCCATTTCTAACTACTAGAGTATGGCAGGGCAAAAATAGTAAGTTTGCACTGGAGAAACCTTGCAGACACCACCTTAGCCAGCGATCCAGCTCAGCGTGGCCAGTGATGAGCCACTTTCGAGCGTGTACCCTGAGGCAATGCAGGGAGTCCACCTCCCCTCTGTGGTCTTCTCCCTCCACCCACGACCTGTTTAATGACGAGGAAACATCAGACAAACCCAAATTGAGGGGCATCCTACAAATACCTGCCCCATGCTCTTCCAAAGTGTCAAGGTCACAAAAGATGACAGAAGATGAGAAGCCGTCCCAGACTGTAGGAGACTGAAGAGATGTGACTAAATGCAGTGGGCGATCCTGATTTATGTCCTGGAACAGAAAAGGGACATTAGTGGAAAAACTAATACATTCTGTAGTTTAGTTAATCATGGTGCACCAGTGTTAATTCTTTAGTTTTGGTGATTGTCCCATGGTTACATAAGAGGTTATCAAGAGAAGCTGGATGGAGGGTGTGTGGGGACTCTGTTGATTTTAGAACTCTTCTAAAGTCTCAAATTGAAGAGAAAAAGTTAAAAGATTGTCTCCTCTCTCCCCCTACCCTCCAATTTGGGGGAGGAGAAGGGTAGCAAAATGTATGTTCAGCCTTCCATCTTAATCCAGTATGTTTTTGTTGTTATTAGAAAAAAAATAAAGTACACCAAGTAGTGACAAATTGTTTTTTAATGTGAGTGGGCTAAACCTCCTCCTGCAGAGATAATTCATAGGACAGGTCAGGATCCAGGAGGCAGGAAAGGTAGCGTACACAGATGGGCAGGGAATAGAATTTAAGGAAGGACTGAAAATTTGTGGTCAGAGTTGAAGGAAACCAAGAGGGGGAGGCAAAGCATCCCAGGCCTGGTGACAACAGGGAGTAATTATCACTGTAGGCCTAAAGGGGAAGAAGGGGGAGGCATGGTTCCCAGCACCTGTTGCAATAGCCTTGAATAAAGTCTTCCTCGCAGTTTTAAACAAGTGTCAGAATAGCCTGACAGTGGTTTGCCTGCATGGAGACGGCTCCTGCTGGCCTGGCCGGCATGCTGCTTCCTCATTGTCCTGCCCCCCTTCCTTCCCTCCTCATCGCAGGCCCAGTCGGTCCCCTACAATCCTGGGAAAGGTGCCATCTACACCAAATCCCACCACCATCCTGCACAATTTCAGCATCCACCTGGGTGACTCATTGGAAACCCAAGCCTCGCACCTTTTGGGTGGCATTAGATCCAGCGACTTCACCTCCAGTTCACTTTAGCCACCCACTCTCATCCCCTGGCCCAGAAATGCTCAGAATACTCTGAATTCTTAATCCCATAACACCCCCTCCTGTCCCAGCTTCTCCCCCTCTGGTGCTCTTCCGCCCCCACCTCTGTGGGTCTTTGAGCTCCCAGCCTCCACTCCTGCCTGCCTGGCCTCCTGCTCCCTTTCCTGTTCAGCCTTCTCTCAGAAAAGTGGTACTGGAGGCCAGGGATGGGCTCCACAGGCCCTTTCACACAGACAAAAAGCTGGGCTGCTTCAGGGGCCATGGTAAGTGTCCCAGGACTGCAAGGGACCAACTGAGCCAGCGACAAGGAGGGAGGGGAAGAAAATGGGATAGGATAGGTTACAGATTGTACATCGACTTTAACTGTTTTTCAGCTGATGGACATAAAATATCTTGAGAAAGTAATGCCTTTTCTGATGGATGCTCAGAGGTCATATGGGCCAGCAGCAACCCCTTAGCTGATAAGCTTAGTACCAAGGTTGGAAGTGGTCGGGTAATAGAATATGTTATTTAAAACAGCAAACAGGCACCCTTGAATCTCAGTGAGCACCCAGGACTGAGGAGCAGGGAGTAGTGAGCCCATGGCCTCTGTGCTTGGGGCATCTCAGGCCCTGTGGCTGTCTTCTGCTCCACCTTGGTCCCTGTTGTTCCTGAGATGCCTGAGGTGGCACCATTGCATCCGCGCTGAGGAGTGCTAGATCGAGGCCTGGAGGCAGTTAAGTGACATGTCCCACTCATCAGTCATGCTGAAGGCAAGAAACCTCCCCTTTGCAAAAAGAAAAGTAACTACGAGGTTTGTTAGCAGTAGGCACATTTTTATATTTTTTTTCTTTGGAGTTCAGGAACTTAATGAACTGTGTATGAGAGAGCTAAGAAAATATGTTTGCTTCAAAACCTTTTTTATTTATGTCTTGAATTTTGCTGACAAGTGTTATGTTGTTAGGTGCCAATTACCATTTTTAAAGGAGAAAATTGTACCTCTAATCTCGTTTTTCAATCTAAGAGAAGAGGGACTTACATGCATTCCTTAAAAGGGATAATTGTGCAGAGGTGAGGTTGGGGGTTGGTGGTCATTGGCTGGAGGGTAGAGAAAGGGATTGTAGGCAATGAGGGGACCAAGCCCAAAGACCTGATTCCACAGTGGGAGGCCCTAGCCTGAGGTCCACACATGAGCTTGCATGTTTGAGATGGCATTGAAATTACTAGCAACACGTGCTTGCGTGTGTGTGTGTGTCCCTTTGTGTCTGCACGTGTGCCTCTGTGTGTGCGTGTGTTCATGTGTGGTATGGTATGTGCCTGTGTGTGTGCATGCCTCTGTGTGTATGTATGTGCATGCGTGTGTGCCACTGTGTGCATGTATGCCTCTGTGTGCATGCATGCATCTCCGTGTATACTTGTGTGCATGCATGTGTGTGCCTCTGTGTGCGCCTGTGTATGTATGCATGTGTGTGCGCACTCCATGCTTGAATATGGGAGGGATGGTTCTTGACACCCTCGTTCTCAGAGGCACCTGTATCATACTTGTCCCCCATCCCCACAAAAGAGGCTGAGTCACTGTTTGGAAAGCTGAGCAGAGCAACTTGTTCTGACTTCTGTGAGATGGCATTTGGTAATTTCTTTCCTGAGAGCCTGCCTTTTCCAGGAATGACTGACCTGACTTTGAGCCCTCACCAGACCTCTGCTGTGTCCTTTTCTCTTCCTTCTAGGCCAACACTGGACAAATCGATGACCCCCAGGAGCAACACAGAGTCATCAGCAGCAACCTCGCCCTCATTCAGGTGAATCTCAGCTTTGTCAGATTAATGAATCTGCTCCCTCTCTTTTGAATCCGCAGCCAGGTCCGCTCCAGGTAGGAAGGGTGAAGGCTAAGTGAGCCCTTGTCCCTGCACTCTGTACTGAACTTTAGGGACACGTGGCAACCTGTACACCCCATGTCTACCAGATCACATTCATGCAACACCTCCAGAGCACTACCACGTCCGCCTGAAGTAGACGCCTCCTCTGGGACTCAAGTCCTTCCAGCTTCCCTACTCCCTTCTTTCCTAGCCAAAAAACTTCTTGAGAGTTTCACCTGTGCTGGCTCCTTCTCTTTCCTGTGGCCTGTGCAGTGCTAAAAGGCTCTCTTCACACTGTCTTGACTCCATCTGTGCTCTCCAGGGTCTTTGGTGTTCCCCAAATTAATGCACCCTGTGATTGCCTTGTGCATGTGATCATACTTTGTATTTCTGGGGCATTTGTGGATCATTCCTGCCTGGAAGTTCCCCCATGGCCCTGCTCCTGCCTCTGCCTGTTTTTTTTTAGCCCTTGAGAGAGCCTCTTAGCCCTGCAAGTGCTTCATGGTCCTCTCAAACTTGTACCTCCTTCTGCCAGACCCTCACCGGGCTCCAGGCTCATCCTGGAAATGTAGTACAGAGTACTACAGGGTCAGGAGACCCAAGGCAGGAGGAGATGAGGAAGAGACTGGCTCAGGGGCAAGAGGGAAGGCTGGGCGTGGACCTAAACAGGAGTTAGTTCTAGCCAAGAACCTTCTGGGCTTCTCTGGGCAGGGGCAGCCTGTGGCAGCACAGAGAACATGGACTCTGAGGTCACATGGTCCATCATCTCTCAACTGGGTGGCCTTGGGCAGGGCCACATCTTGTCCATCAGATTAGGATGATACCCTCTTTACCTCTCACCTGAGTTCCAGAACTACTACATCTAACTCTCTACTGGGTGTCTTCATTTGCCTGTTCCAGAGGCAAGCCCCAAAGCACAGCAGATCTGGCCTCATCGTCTTCCTTCCTCACACCCCCCTCTTCTGGAGTCCCTAGCTCTGCCTCATTTGAAGATTGGAAGCTCACTCTGGGAGTAAACCAGCCGAGGGACCTGGGGCGAGTCTCTTCACCTTCTCTGTGCAATGGGTGGTGGTGAGGTTTCCATCGTGTGAAGCTTGTGGCATCTGGCCAGCACTGGGCCAGCCCGCAATCATGATGGCTCGACCCCGAGTTGTTCTCAGCTGCTTCCGTACATGCAGACCCCGAGGATTCTACCTTGGAGTTGTGCTCGAGTCCAGTCCTGCTGCTGCTCCTCCTTCTTGCTTGGCCACCTTATCCTCAGCCTCGATGACTCAGACCTTTGCACTCCTCTCAGGCTGCCAGGCTCTTGGCCTCCAGCTATCCTGTGTGGCCACCTGGCTGGCCTTTTCTAAAACTGAGCTGATCGTGCCTCTTCCTCCTTAAGCCCCTTTGTTGGGTCCCCTTGTATAAGGGTGGGCCTGGCCCAAAAGGCGCTATGTGGCCTGTTCCCACCCCTCTTCACCCCTCCCCGCCTTTGCACACACAGCTGCCTCCTTGGAATGTCTTTTCCTCTTGTTCACCAGCCAGTGAAGTGCGTGAACAACTCCACGCAGCTCTGAGTTCCAGCTCCTTTCCTCTTTGGTGCTGTGCACATGCTGCTGTGGCTGCCCTCGCTGACCAGGTTGCAGCTGTGTGTTTAGATGTCTGCCTGCTGCACCTGAGGCGAATCTCAGGGCCAGGACCATGTCTTGTGGCTGAGGAGCTGCAGAGATACAGGAGGCACTCGTCATGCCCCCAACAAAAGGTCTGGCAGGGCACAGGCAATACATGCCTCTGCTGCAAGTCACGCTGGCTTCACTTCACTGTTTTCCACCAAATCCTTGTTCCTATGTGTGCATATTTCCACATAATGGGTTATCAACAAATGCTTAGTAAGACCCATTCTTGGCCAGGCATTGGCTGTGCACATAGTTCTAATCATAGCAAGGATATAATTTTGTCTCCTCCATTTTTTTTAAAAAAGCTTAAAACAAATGTAAATGGTACAGTAAGTTTTGCAACTGGACTTTTTAATAACTTCAGCATATTCTATCATATTAATGTGAAACCAAGAGTGATATTTAAAATTTTTTTCAGCTGGTAGGGCATGGGGACTCAGCAGTAAGATCAAAGGGTAGCCGAGAGCTGGCCCGGCAGAGCACTGGGGGCTACTCAGCACCAGCCCTGCCCCCTTCCCTGAGCCACCGCCCTGGGGGTGTGCCTGGAGTTCTTCCCAGTCTGACTGTCTTGATAAATTATACTGCAATGAAAATATCCTTTTTGCCTGAACTTCTTAAGATAACTTCCCACAAATTCAAAGGGTATGAACAGTTTAAAGCTCTGATTTTTCCCAGGACTACAAACTATTTTGGATTTTAGTATTAAATAATCAGCATTAGCATTAATATTTGAGTTATATTTGAATTAGTTTCTCTGTATCCTCACCCTCACTGAAAGTACTCTTCTAAACTTCTTTTTGCATTCACCATATTCATATGTATGTATGTGCCCACAGATAATATATGATATGGTTTTCTGTGTTTTTTTAACATAAAAAGTTTTATACTGTACATATAATTCTGTTACTTGTATTTTTCTCTTAGTTATGATGTAATGAATGAAAGTTAGTTAGAACAGAGCATGGCAGATATTTAGCATGCAGTAAATATCAGCTGCTAATCATCATTTTTATTATCATTATTACATGGTTCTTTGTACACATATGCAAATGTTTCTCTGGGAAAAATGCTGATCGTAAGGTATAAGGATAATTTACAGCCAAGTTTCTCCCCAAAGTTTCTGTACCAATTTTTACCACCATCAAGGTATAAGAGCACACTATTTTCCCACATATTTGTCAATATTTTATATTATCAGCCTTTTACATTTTAATCTTACCTAGTCTGATGGGTTAAGAACAAGCACATCCCTTCATGCATTCATTCAGCAACAATGTCTGAGTACCTGCAGAGGGCTGGCCCCTGTCCTTAGAGCTGGAGACCCAGCAGAAAATAAGACAGCACTTATCTTTTGAAAGAGGAAGGTCAGCATCAGCTACACATGAGTAAGATACCTTCAAGTTCTCTATAGAGAATCCTGATTGCTGGGGAAGTTGACCATCTTTTTGTATGCTCCTTAGCCATTTGTATCTCTTTTTCTGTGAATTGCCTACCCATATCCCTTGTGCATTTTTCAGTCAGATTTTATTATTATTATTGATTTATAAGCTGGGCTTCATTATTATGGAAAAGAATCCTGTGTTAGTTCTATATGTTGAGGATATTTTCTCCCATTCTATCCTTTTCTTTGCCTTTTGTGGTGTCCTTTATCATATAGAAGTCATACATTCATCCTATCAGTATTTCTTAATGGATTTTGCATGTTGTACCTTTAGGAGAAGAGTCGAGAATCTTAACAATATTGTCCTATATGTCCTTTTACTTCACACTTTGGGTTTCTGTGTTCAAGGATGTGTGTAAATGGTATGAAGTAGGGACCTATTTTTTTTTCCCCTGAACATAGATATCTAGTTTAGTCAGTATTCTCGTATTCCATACTGATTTGAAATGCCACATTTACCATATAAAATTCTCATATATTCATGATTAAATTTTCATATATTAAATTAAAGAATTTTATATATCCATGATTCTATTCTTGGGCTCTATTCTGTCCTGCTGATCTCTGTGTCTGTTTCTGCCAATTACCACACTGCTTTGATTTCTATAGCTTTAAAATACATATTGATGATGAATATGCAAAACTCCTCTTTGGCCTTCTTTCTCTGAATCATCTTGGATGTTCTCACACACTTACTCATCATCGTGAGATTTAAAGTGAACTCTCAGACGCCATGAAAGTCTTGTTGGGACTTCGGTTGGATTTACACAGGCTAACATGGGAGCATTTTCATCTGTGAAGAGCGAGCTCTTGTCATCAACACAAGTGTGGAGCTCATTATTTCTTCAACCTGCTCTATAAAATCATGTGTCTCCCTTCAGACATTTTGAATTAGAAGTGCCATTATCAATACTCAGATTGGGACACTACATGGGTGCAGGATCAGAGCAGAGCAGGGTGTGTGCTCTGTGGGATGGAGCCAGGAGTGCCACCTGGGGTGGAGCAAACCACGGACACAGCACATGGGCAAGTGCCAAGGAGGAATAGCAGAACAGAGGCCGCATGTGTGTGCTGAGGTCACTGGGACTGCTGCTGTGAGTCCTGGGGTGTTCCCATGTGCGGAGCAAGGGCAGTTTTCTGTACTGCTGGGAGTTACAGAGCACTTTTGCCCAGACCACTGAGAGGTGAATGTGGGCAAGAGACAGGCTAGTCCTTGACCAAGGCCTGAGTAGATGAAGAATTAGATTCTGCAATGAAGATGGCATCCAACAAGGAAGCAGAGGTGGAAAGCAGGAGTTTGTGAAGGAACTGGGTTGAAGGGAGGTGCTGGTGGTGTTTTCCTGGGGTGGAGGGGGTCAGAGGGACCCTCCCTCATGCTTCTGATCTCTCCCCCGGCAGGTGCAGGCTACCGTCATGGGGCTCCTGGCTGCCATTGTCGCTCTGCTGCTGGGTGCTGTGTCTAGGGAAGAATCAGACTTGGCCAAGGTGCAGTTGCTGTGTGCCAGCAGTGTCGTCACCGCCTTCCTTGCGGCCTTCGCCCTAGGTGAGCTGTGCCCCTGTTGTGTGCCCCCCCAGCTGTCCCACCCTTTCCCCGGTGCCCTCATCCTGGCTCCTCTCAGGTGCCATGCCTCAGGCTCTGTTCTCAGCGCTTTGTGTCTCCACTTCCTGGAGGTGTGAGAGATGGCACCACTACAGTGGCTCACATGCATGGTGGGCAAGCACAGTTGCTGAGCACTGACCAGGCCATGTCATCCAGCTGTTCGTGATTTGGTAGCTGCTGGGTGTCAGCTCGGTGCCCAGCCATGTAGAGCATTGTGGATACACTAGTGGACAAAACATGTGAGCGTACACATAGCTCAAGTGAAGTGCCACATGTCACTTTTGTCACGGAGCCTCCTCTCACAGACTGTGCAGTAGCCTCCACTCCTGGCCATGCTCTGTTAGTTTCCTGTCTTGTTTACTTCAGTCCTCTACCCGACAGGCATGTCTCCTGGCTGGGCACAGAGCCTTTAGGTTATTGCCACTACTTAGCTCAGGGCCAGGCCAATACCCAGTGTTGGCTGAATGAGTGGATGTTATCCTGGTTCTCTCCTGGATCGTGCATCTTGTAGACCCTGTGCCTTGCTTTTGAGCAGTGAAAGAAGGAACAATTGCTAACTTCATAACTGGACTTGTCTTCACACTTCTGTCCCCACCTGACTACGCACTAAGTGCTCTCTGGGCTCAGCTCTGTGGAGGTTTACCCTGTGGGTTATTTGGGGTTTCTCATTCCTGCCACATGGCCGATCAGCCACATTCCTGTGCTGGTGCCTGCAGCCAACATAGAGGGTCAGCAAGAAGAGGAACGTGTGCCCACAAACCTCACTTTCCCAGTCAGGATGTTTGCTGAAGCCAGCTCCTGGTCATGGCCCGGGCATGTCACATGAATGGGGGATGCCATGACCCAGTCTGGTCAGAGATTGGGGTAGGATGAATCTGCCAAACCTTGTAGAGAAGCAGAGCCCAGGAGACGTTTAGCATGAAGTCTCCTCTGAAAACAGCACAGTCTCATGATTCAGGTCAGCCATGTCCTTGTAGGGCCTTGAGGAGATCACCGTTCCTAGCTCCCCACTTTCTAGAGGGAATGAAGCTCAGCAGCATGGCCATTATCTGTACTGTCCAAAGATATTCAGAAACATTGCCAGTGGCTCACCCTGTGTGTCACAGTGGCTGTGACATAAAGCCCCATTGTAGTGGTTTTTAATAAGCACTCCCAAACCAGTGGTGTCACTTTGTGTGGTTCCTGCAAGATTGTCACCAGCTCAGCAGCTCTGCCATGCAAATGCAGATTCACTTAGAACTGGCGTTTTAAAAGTACATATAGGGGCTGTGACCTGGTCACAAGACAGGGAACAAACTGGCCGGTGCTGGTGGCTTTAGGATGGCATTGAGGGAATGATTGTAATTATTTCTAGAGTTACAGATCCGGGGTAAAGTGCTAAAATGCGAATAGCCAAGATACAGAATATCTGCTTAAAGAACCGAGTGAGAATCTGTTGAATCAAGCCCTGGGCAGTGGATAGTGGACTGGAGGATCACATGTGATAGTTGCCTTCAGAGCAGAGTTGGAGTAGAAAGCAGGACCTCAGGAGGCGTGGTGACCTCTCAGATCTCAGTGCCACACTCTGACATCCATACCCACCTGCACTCTGGCCACACATGGCTTCCCATTGACAGCCCTGCCAAGCTCCTGAGATGGGCCTCTTCTCTGGATTCATGGCCTCTGACAGCCTTGCTGAGGTCACCTAGATTACAGTGCCATCTAGCACACGTCCCCCACCTTCCTCCCCTCTCTCCTTCCCCTGGGGCCCCACCTGCATCGTGTCCTGGTCTGCCAGTGCTCCCGGCTCCCCCACCTCCTTCCCCATACTCCCCCATGGGCTTTGTCCCTAATATATCTCTCACATGGCTGATTCCATCTTGGCCTCCATTCCTCAGAGGACCCTTGCAAGCAAGGGAGGCCACATTGCCAGACCCTGGGGGCTCCCGTGGCTCAGAGCATATTTGGGGCAGCCCTCTCTGCAGTGGGGGGCTGCAAACTTCCTGTCTTTGTGGTACCAGTTGATTTGGGAGCCCAGGAGCCACGTGCCCTGCCTGAGTGTGTCATCAGAGCTTTCGGGACATTCAACATCAGTCTCACAGGTCACAAAGTGGAGTCTAAGTCTCCCAACCTTCTCAGGCCTCCAGTGTGGTGGGAGGGACTCAGAGGGTCGGCAGCCTGGCCCACACCTCAGCTTGTGTGGACAGAGGCAAGTGATGAGCAGCCTCCTGCCCATCTGCCAGTCCCTCCTCCTAGACTGCTGTAGATTGGATGCCCTGCTCCTACCCCATTAGGGCTTAATCCCCACTTAAGTGTTGAGAGTGGGAAGTCCTGTTATGGTAATTGAAAGGTGGGACCTTGAAGAGGTGATTAGATTGCATGACCATGCTGCAGTGAGTGAATTAATAATGGTGATCAGGGGCATGGTTCTAAGGGCTTTAAAAGGGTAGCACATGAGGAGGTTAGCCTCTTTCTGCTCTGCCATTTCGCAGTGTAACACCCTGCTGTTATTGTTACCACCACCAAGGCCTTCACTAATGTGTTCCCTGTACTGTGGACTTCCCAGCCTCTGAAACTGTAAGCAATAAATTTCTTATCTTTATAAATTATCTAGTTCCAGGTATCTTGTTATAAGCAACAGAAATGGACTAATACACATGCTGTCAAACCCTGTGCCACTGAGTCTTCCCAAGGCCCACTGACTCATGGGATCTGAGTCTCCTCTCTGTCCTCTCTGCAGGAGTGCTGATGGTCTGTATAGTGATTGGTGCTCGAAAGCTCGGGGTCAACCCAGACAACATCGCCACACCCATTGCAGCCAGCCTGGGAGACCTCATTACACTGTCCATCCTGGCTCTAGTTAGCAGCTTCTTCTATAGACACAAAGGTAGGGAGGACTCCAAGGAGGAGGGGTTGGGACAGGCCACCACCAAGGGTGAGTGAGAACATTTGTACCCAGCTCGTGGCATTCAAATCAGGCACTGTGCCCACGGAAAGGAACCCAGGGTGTTGTGGAAAGCCTGAGGTCACTCAGCAAGGTCAGTTGTCCTTGAGAAGTGCCTCATGCTCTCCAAACCATGTGAGAGGTTGAGCAACTCAAGTCTGCACACGTGTGGCTGTTGACTCCACCTTTAGTGCAGAGGCAGGCGGGAGGGCCTGAGGCTGGGCTGGCCTTTTGCCCTCACAGGGATAAAGATGGGGGTTGGGTGGGGTGGGCCTGTGGTGAGGGTTGTTGGAGGAAATGCCCCAGACAAAGGGAACAGCCTCAGCAAAGCTGCAATTTGTCACTGCCTCATGGGAACATGGATTTGAGCAATCACCCTATTTTTACATGTTGGCAACTGAAGCAGACAAAACAGCTCTGACTTAGAGGGAACTGGCACTGGGACCCTTTCTGTCCCAGCTGTGGGACCGTCTCCTGCCATCCTGGGTGTTGTCTGCCACCAGCAATATTTAATCACCTGGGAGATTCTCAAAGTGCATGTAAGTGGCAATGAAGATCTGTAGGAATCAAATAAGGTGACCCAACTTTACTTTCAAGCCAAACTGAATTTAAAACAAGAAGATTTGCCTACAGGTTAATTATTTGAGTTTGATTTGCAAAATAAATAAGAGTTCCAGGCCTCCCCAGGTCCTTTCTCTCTGCTCCCTACCATACTGTGTGTATATTTTAATACATGGTTTGAGTTAGACTTTAAATCACTGTTGGATCGTCTGTCTCTCCAGTGAGACTATGCACTTATCTCTGGTATGCTCAGGGGAGTCACTTGGCCTGGCCAGTGTTAGATAAATCCTAACTCTCTGAGGAGTGAGAGGTGACTGTTGCACCTGCTGGTGCCATTGGGAAGGACGACAAGCCACGCGCAGGGGTGGTGTGCATGAAGTGGACCTCTAGGGGGCTTGTGAGTGGTTATGGAAAACTTGGACTGGGCTATAAAATGTCCTGTAGGGAGATGCTCCTGCAGTCTGCTGTCTCCCAGAGCATCTGAGAGCTGCTTAGAGCTTGCTGGACCTGCCTGCTGTCTCCTGGGATGGTGCAGGGGCCAGCCACGTGCACCGTGAAGTGCTCTGCAGCCAGCCTCAGGCACCCATGGCAGAGGAGTTGGCCAGGATCGTTCATTGCCTGTGCACTACTGAGTGCTGGGGAACCCAGGGCAAGAGGGGTGTGCACCTCCTGACCCTGCCCTTGGGAGGGTGGGCCAGGGGTGGAAGGACTGTTCTAGAGAAAGCCAATGTCTTGTTCTGGTCACATGTGGAAGGTGAACTCGCACAGGGTATAAGACAGTAAGGGAGTGAGTGCAAGAGGTGCCGAGTGTGTCGGCCTCAGCCTGGCCCCACATAGCACTTGACTGGTCTAGACCCCAGTCCATCTTCACTGGCCTTCCGCCAGTTGAAGAAGGTGACACAGGGACAGAAGTAGCTACCAGGCTGGCTGTGATACCAAAGCAGTTGCCTCAGCCAGCAGCAGGGTTGCCATCGTGTAGCTGGCTCTGGCTTCCACAGACCCAGGCTGTAGCCCCAAAGTGACTCTTGCTGGCTGCGTGTCCTGAGCAGCCACCTCTTCATGCATCTGTCTCCTCGTGGTGCGTGTCTGAGGATGGCTGTTAAGAACATGAGATGAGATCATGCACATGAAGTGCTGAGCATGGCGCTGGTGCACGGTCACTATCCCATGGTCACTGTCCCATGGACAGCACTGCTAATTATAGCAATGACATTGGGGTGGGAGGAGCCCCAGGAGAGTACTTTATGTCGGCAAAGTAGCAAAACAGAGAAGTGGAGGTGAATGTGGCAGGGATTGAGGACATGGGGGAGCTTTTCCAGTTGCTCAGTGCGATGGTGTGAAATCTTCAGAATATATGAGAGGACAGTCCACCCTAAACTGATGAGGACAGAAGTGTCTCCTCAGACTTCTAGCACCCTTAATTCCCAGCCCACCTCTCACCTGTGGAACCTTGGCCACATGAAGTGTATGTATCCCCTTTTTCCTTCCAGACAGTTGGTATCTGATGCCACTGGTCTGCATCGGCTTCATAGCACTGACCCCTCTGTGGGTCCTCATTGTCAAGCACAGCCCACCTGTCGTGAAGATCCTGAAGTTCGGGTGGTTCCCAATCATCCTCGCGATGGTCATCAGCAGGTGAGCGAGGCTGCAGCCCCTGTCCCTCCCCCTGAGAGCTGCAGAGCCCCCTGGAGTGGGGATGGCAGTCAGGCATTGTGGGTCATGGTCTGAGTGAAATGTAGCTGTGGGCCCCTTCACTAACTCTGAAGGACTGGTGAGGTCCCCCTCTTTTGTCTCTTTCACCAGAACCTTAGCCCTTCTGCATTCTAAGAGGGGCTGCCCTGGTCATAATTGTCAGAGCACCAGGGAGCCAACAAGAGCCAAAGCTGGAAATGTCAGATGAATGCACTGGGGCCCCAGCACCCTGCCCCGTCCCTGTCACAGTGCTGTGGGATACCAGTTTTCAGTCCATGGCTGCCACCGCTCTGCTGGCCCAACCCCTGCTTAGACTGCAGGGTGCCTCATCTTAGCCTCAAGACAACCGCTCTGCCAACCCATTCATGTGCCTGGTCACCGTCCACAGCATGGCTGCTGGTGAGACCTAGAGGGCTATGGGGTTAGTCCCCACCTCAGACCCTTAGGCCTTTCAGCTGAGCCCAATTCGGTTGCCCTCCAGCCCCATTCTTGAGGACCCTTTCCTGCTAGGAGACTTTGATGGGGCCACCCAGTCTGTTCTGATGTGTTTTCCTAACTTTGAATCTCAGGGAGAAGAGGTTATGGTTTAGGTATCCTTGTTTCCAGAAGGTTCCAGGCTTATACAAATTGATCTAACTTCTCCAGAGTTATGAGAAGTTTCAAGGGGTAGGAAGGTCTTTGCTTAACTACAAGAGCTGGGGGGGGGGGCAAGGTCTTGCAATATTTTCTGAAGGAGCATGAGGTGATACTCGTGTAGGTTCTGTTTTCTGGTGATGCTCATGCAGGTTCTGTTTTCTGGTGATACTCATGCAGGTTCTGTTTTCTGCTAGAGAGCACCTCAGTCGTAGCTCAGGAGCCATCTCATAGCAGATCCCAGCCAGTTGCGGAACCTTGGAAAGGCATTTGTTTTTTTAGTAGCGGGTTGACATTACCTGATGGGCCTTCTGAAACAGCTGAGGCTCAGAACAGAGGTGGAGGTGGAAATGCATGTGCAAGGTATACAGGACCCTGGGGAGACCTGCTCGGCTGCAGCAGATACTTGTGTAGGGGAAGGAAAGTGTTTGCTGAGGCTGGGAAGACAGGCTGGTCAGGCAATTCATAGAGGTTTGTAGGGCCACGGTAAGTGTGACCTCTCTGATCATTTGACTGCTCTCTGATCTCTCCACAGTTTTGGAGGGCTCATCTTGAGCAAAACCATTTCTAAACAGCAGTACAAAGGCATGGCCATATTCTCTCCCGTCATCTGTGGTAGGTATTGGAGGTGGTTTTCCCAGGTCCCTGGCACACATCTGGCCCAGTTAGGGGTAGTTCTCCAAGGGGGTGGGGGCAGCCACCACCCCCCAAAGGGAGCTGTCGCATGGGTGAGCCCTGTTCTCTGTCAGATCCCATGCCTGCCCCACAGAAGGGGCTCGACATGGGTTTTGGTCAGTTGAGTCATTTGGCCCTGGCAGAGCCTGAAACCTTTTCCACACACTGTGGAAACCAGGAGCCTCACCAAGAAGCCCCAGAGTTTCCAGAGGGGGAGCGTTCTCATGGTGGGCTGAGCGTCCTGATTCTGCCTTTCTGGGCCCTGTCTTTGTTCAGCACCCTGTCATGACCCCTGCCCCCACCTACATTTCCCCTAAAGAGACCCCTCCGTGCACATACCCAAAGCATCTGTGAGTGTTGGAGTCTGCACTAACTTTTTGGGGTCCCCAGAGAGGGACTCACAAAACACACAAATTGAAATAGTTTAGCCGAAAATGTCTTTTCTTAAAAGCCCTCCGGCCGGCCAGCCAAGAGAGGTGTTCGAGGCGCTTTTCCTGGGACAAGCCTCCTTTATCACCATAGGATCATCTCACCCCACCGCTCCCCTCCCCACTCTTACCTACTGTTCTCTTCCTCTCCTTCCCACCTTGAGGTGAAAAGACCCCTTTCACTTTCTCGAACTTTCCAGACTGTAGTCTGGTTCCTGTCAATTCCCATGGCTCTAGCTCTCTTACCCTGAGTGGTTTAGCAAGCTGTCTTAGACCCACCCATCCACCTCTTCACCCCCTTCCTGAATTCCCTCTCTCCCTTACACCCTCCCTCTGGCCAAAAAATATTTATTCAGAGCCTGCTTTGCCAAACAAAAGATATTTATTCAGAACCTGCTTTCCCTGTCTTAAGAGATGCTGTCAAGGTGTTATAGTTACTACCTCTATACCTCACTCACAAGGCCTGGGTCACCCTTACTTGGTGCCAAACAAGATCTGTGGCCAAATGGGAGGGAAGGAAAAAAAAAAAAAATTCAAGTGTAAAATCAATCAAAGGCTTCCTGGAAGAAGTGGACTTAAAATGAGGGATGGAACTCAGAGACTGGTGTAAGAAAGGAGAAACCAGATTATTTTCCTCCTTGCAGGTATTGGTGGCAATCTGGTGGCCATTCAGACCAGCCGCATCTCCACCTACCTGCACATTTGGAGCATGCCTGGCGTCCTCCCCCTCTGGATGAAAAAATTCTGGCCTAACCCATGTTCCATTTTCTGTACCTCAGGTGGGTCTGGTGTCTTCCAGAGGCCACGTGATCATTTTTTTAAGCAAGTAAAAATTGATGTCCTTAGAATGTGATATTTGTAGCAATGGATGCCTGAGGCCAGTGATGACCTCAGCGCAGATCACCTTCAAGGTCCCAGCTCCTTCTCACAGAGACCTGACTCCCCAGCCCTGCTTTTCATTCAGTCTTTCATTCCCCAAGTATTTGTTGAATGTCTACCAGGTCCTAGGTGTCAGGTGACAGGGCCAAAACAGAGACAGCTGGTTTCTTGCCCTCTCAAGTAGACAGTCTAGAAGAGCAGATAAACACAGAACAAATGAGCACATAATTGCAAATGGTAACTTGTTCCAAAAGGCAGAAGCACAGGGCACAGTGAAAAAGAATGAGAGAGATCACAGGCTGGGGATGCACAGCTTCTCTCTGAGGATGAGCAGGGCTTGGTGGGGAGGAAGAATGTTCGAGACACAGGGAACAGCCTGAGCAAAGGCCCAGAGGCAGCAAGGAGCTTGGCAACTTTGAAGAGTGGAAAGGCCAGTGAGACCTGAGCATACTGGGCATGAGGGGATGAAGGAAGAGAGAGAGGTAGAAGGATGTGATCCTGTAGAGCCTGGCTGCTTCAGGAAGGAGACTGGATTTATCCTGAGAGCCACTGGAAGCCATTGGAGGTGTTTTATCTTTTTGCTACTTTTAAAAATTGGATCTTTTCTCCCGTTATAATTTCTTGGGTCATTTCCTTTCTGTTTTAAGAATTGCATTTAGCCATCTTTTTTTTTTTTTTTTTTGTCTTTTTTCGTGTCCGGCAACGGATCGCAACCCTCAGTGTTGCGCCCGTACCGGACCAGGACTGGCAACGGGATCGCAACCCTCAGTGCCGCACCCGCACCTCACTCAGCCAGTGAG